ATGTTTAGAATTTTTTTAATTTGCACAAGTTTTTCTACATTCTCAAATTAACTGAACTTGAATAAAGTTAAATCTGGGAAGATTTAATCTAATGCCTTCATTATTTTATTATAAATATGTATTAGCATAATTTTTATCTGATAAAATTGTATTTTTTCTTAAACTCATGAAGAGAATTATTTCCCCACTATCAAATATTTTTTAATGAAATAAAAATCTAATCTACAGAAGCAAGCAACAATTCTGGAAAGGTAAGGCAAGTTTATAGAAAGTTGCAAGTTTAATACAAAATAATCTTGTTATTTCACAGTCTTAGAAGAACTTAAGCATAGAAAAGCAGTTACCTTGCTAATATCCCTCGATTTATCCTTTGATCCATGTTTTGTTTTTTTGGATCACATAAGAGAGAAATGTTATAAGCATATTCATGTTAATGTGCATCTCTTTTTTTAGAAAATATTGAGCTTTTGAATGTAGCATAACTTGCTTTTCTTGTAGAAATACTCCTCCTCAACATCCACCCCCAACACATACATACATTGTATCATGTACTGAGGTCAAATATAAAGTAACTTAAATATTCAGGACCTTAGTGTTAGCTTAATAGTGCTTCACGCTATCACAGTCCCAAATCTGATATTTGTGTTGTACTCAAATGGGAGCTCTTCCTTTTGTATTGTGTTTCCTATCGTTCTTAAAGAGTATAAATTGGGTAACCCAAGAAGTTATTCTTACTTGAGGCACTGCATAAATGCTTTATGTCAATTGGTTTATTTCTTTTCAAGCTTTTTGGTAATTCTGTTATTGGTTAATCATTTGTTAAATCCTCTTGTTAAAATCTTCCCTCTAAATATATTTTGCATTGGTGCAAATTGCATGTTTTATATGGTGATAATTAAATCCAAGAAAATAAGGAAATAATCAAGGTTTAAAGCATTCTGATTGTTACTTAATAACTCTAACTAGATATGCAAACTATTCTTATTAGAAAATTGTGGCAGCTTTATATGGCAGCAGTTGAATTTTTATCTCCTGACAGAATTCATAGATTTGACTTTATGAGCTTTGAATTAAAAGGGAGCATTAAATTGATCTTCCCTCATTTAAAATCTATTTAATGAATTAGGGTATCCTAAGAAAAAAATGTGTTAATCTATCATAGCATAAGTACAAACAGGAAACATTCTATAAAACCAAATAGAGAACAATCAAAACAAAAACTTTGCAGTCTTTTTGAGAAATTAAAATTGAAATACAAAGGTAGAAGACTGACAATCTGATTTGCCTTGTTTATTTGCAACAGAATGTGACATATTTTAAATTTAAATGATTAATTGAGAAGTTACACTGCAGCAGAAAGTTTTAAGAGCCTTTTATGTAACTTAATACAATGGTATTTGAGACTGCCAGCAGACTCTTAAAACTCCTGGACACCAGTTCTCTTCTCTTCTGGCTTCTCTCCTAGTCATGTCTTGGCTACTGTCCAGAGCTGACAACTTTCACCCAGGAGTGAAGGGAGAGTTGTCTAGTATAAGAAGGATTTTTGAGCCATCCTAGATTTTATATGCAGATGAGCAAGGAGGAGGGGTGGCAATATCATTGTACGTACTTGGGTGATGTCATTATGCCACATTATGTACTATAACCATTAATTTACCAATGCCAGTGAATTCTTAATGTCCTCATCCACATGTTCCTTATTGGAAGCTATAAATAAAAACTTCAAAATTAATACAAAAATGATGTTCAAATTTAGGTAACTGATACACAAATACCTCTACTCCTCCATTTGCAACTCTATACTAAAAACCAAAGAGGTTTCACATCTTGGCTAATAACATAAAAACATTTAGAATTTGTTAGGAAGAGAATATAGATGTTTCAGTTTCAAAACCTCACATCACTATGCTAAAGCTTTCTGAACACTGCTCATTATGACAATTTATTATCCATAGTGTGTTCCTGATAAAGGGAACTGTGATTATTATGCTATTCAATGTTTTTTAAGCCATTAATTTTAAATCCTTTTAAGTGAATTTACCTACCTCTATCGAAAGGATCCTTTAGGATTAACATGATTCAGTAGACCTTTTGACAAGAATGGTTTTAAGGTATTACATCAATAGATCATATTCTTTATGAATCTTGGAGGCACAGAAGTAATCTATAGCACTTTTTTAACTTTAAGAAAATGTACATTTATATGTCCAAATGCCTTTTGTATTTCTACAGATAACTAGAAAAATGAGTTTGTAAGAAAAATAAAAAATTATCTCAGAAATTTAGATTTTATTCTTATATAATCTCTATTGTCTTTTATTCCATAGATGCTTTTCACAAGTTTGTACAACTGGTTGCTACATTGTATAAACTATTTGCAACATAGCTATGCAGAAAGCAGTAAAGTCACTGTTACATACATATTTTATGGTAACAGTAACAATAAATGTTTATTTATGTTCTGATACTACATGTAAGTTTTTAAAATATAATTTAGTTTATAGTTAATAATTGTGGGTATAAAGCTGTGGTTCTTGGAAATACAAGTAAAATAAATATATGAGTGAGTTTCTGAGAAATGTTGATATCTAGGCTGTACATGCCTTTTATATTTGGAATTCAGTAGCTTTACTTTTCAAAGTGGATAATTGATTTTTTAAAATTTCCCAGAAATTACCTTTAAAAGACCTATAAAGCTAATAAACGTTCTACACTATAAAATGGTTTATTAGTAAATTTTAAGGTTAAATAAAGGAAGGAAACTCTTTGAAATAAACAAATGCCAGGTTGACCATTTAAATACAGATTGCCTTGCTTATATACTATTCGAATGGAAATTAATCTCATCTTTAAACCATATAATTTCTGTTATTCATTTAATTGAGAAAGTCCTGGTTGATCTCATTGAAATCTTAAATACTTGAGTTCTAGCGAAAAAATTGACTTTATCATTTTAGATTCAGATATATTTAGCTACAAAGGCTTAGTCTTTTATTTATAGATAAAAGGAAATCTGACCTTTTTGATTAAGGAATATTGTCAGTAGCCTGTATAAATGCTTGTTCATCTGAGGGTCCATGATAGGAGTACTCTTCCCAGTTGAGTTTATCCTAAAAATGAAATGATAAGAGCCTGCTGGTTGTTATCCAAGATTCTTCTTAATGGGGAAACCACATGGTTATTCTTCATCTCCCACTTGTTCTCACCCTTTCCTACCAACCCAGCCACACCCCACCCCCACCCCAACATTGTTCAGTACTCAGCACAATGAATCATTTTCAAGTTGACTCATTGTGAACTGTATCCCAGCTGTTGGAATGTCTGGCAGACATTTTTGTTTGGGTGAAGAATAACTGGCTGAAGCCCAACCTGGATGAGTTTGATATAATGGTCTTTGGCTAAAGAAATATTGAGAGGAACATGTTTATGGCCTCTGAAGCCCCTGTTATTCCTGGAGTAGGACCATCCCCTGTGGCACAGAACTGAAAGTAAGGAATCAATCTGAATTATTTTCTCACCATTGAGTGAAAAATAGCCTTAGAAAAAACAGACATTTCCAAATTATGTTTGCTTTTCTATACTAAGAATGCCCACGTGATTGAAAGTATTAAAGACAATTAGAGATAGCTGTTTTTACTGGTTCTTTTTAAGAGCACTGATTCAAAGGTGGAAACATTTTTTATGTAACACACATTCCAATTTCTGGAGCAGTTTCAAATACCGCCATAGGTGTGAGTTAGCCATTCATTTTGACTGAATATTTGGTGACACAGTCAACTATGTATTTCATACGGAGTCAGGTAACATCGACCAGCCCTCTCTCATTTTTCATTCTTATGCAGTCTTTATAAGGGGATTTAGGAACCAGAGGAATTCGAGTAAGCTCAGTAGTCAATCTTATTTTTGGAAAATGAAAATCTTGAATTACATTTGGCCTCTTTTCTAACAGGGGACATAGTAAAAGACTGATATATTTTCTTGACTACTTAACATTTCTCATCTTTTCTTCAAAGATTAGTTTTTTAAACTGGTGGGTACTCTGAATAGGAGTTTCAAAATTACCCAATTCTACAAACAATATTATCAGCATATCTTAATCTGTAGAGCAAAAAAAATTGGGCTAAAAGGAACTTCTACTAAATAAAATTCTTTTTTAAAAACCCACCAGGTTATTTGATTTTTTTAATATCCCTAAAATTCTGAGCATTTTAGAACTATTGCTACTTAATAGCTCGACACAGTATATTTAGAAACATATTGCTATGTTATTTCAATCTAGCAAAATGCAGCACTTATTAAGATGTATTTAGCAGTATATTTCGGTTGATCTTGGGTCGTATTGGATTACAAGGGTAAGCTACTGATCTAAATGTTGGTCATCTACCATCTTTTCTTTGCCTTTATTGTTATCCCAGAGCCAAATGGCAGCATCTGGAAGGAGAAAACAGAAGACTCCAGGGCTAGACATTTTGTGGTCTCTTAGCTGGACCCTTCCATGTTTCTAATATGTCACAGAGGACCTCAGCTGTTGTAGGCCTGGGACCTAGTCCCAGCTTACAGATGACAATGGGACCTTGCCTTATACTTTATTCTGTACTATCTACTGCTTCTGAATCCTGCTGTCTGCCAGATTTCCCAGTGGGCAATGGGCGAAGTAATTCAAGAAATAATAGTGTATAAGAATAAAGATAGCCCTGTTCCTTCAGACAATTAAAAAGTAATGAATTTATGGTTTCTATTGAAACTACTCGATTTATGTCTTCTACCAATTTATAGTTTCTCCTCATCTCTTTGAATTAAAATAGCTGCAGGGTTTGAAATTTTCTATTAAGATGAGTATTTTCATCCAGTTTTCAGCCTGTACTAGCTTTAATTTTTAGTTATTTCTCTGTGTCTGTAGTCTATCTCTACTAAAATTCATCATTGAGGAGGCATAGTGGCATTGTATGGATGTTATATTTTTAAACGTAACGTAACTGTTTTGTTTTCACGTTTTACAGAATAAAGCAGTTATTGCTCGTGTTACAAACTTGTCAGATACGGTAGTTGGTCTGGAATCATTTATCGGTTCTGAGAGAGAAACCAACCCTTTATATAAAGATTATCATGGTAAGCAGCACCTTCATAATGAAAAGAGCATATCCTGGCAGTGTCTAGGGTACCTGGAAGCATCTTGCCCAGTCAAAATATCTGCTGTCAATTTGTATGAATTTTATTTTATAATAAAAATAAATGTTAAATGTTTTCCATTCCTGGCCAATCTTGCGTGGCAGTTTATCATAAAACTACATTAAGACTATAAACTATGATAACTGTTTGATAGGAGTCAAATCCAAGTACTAAGGCATGGCTAAGTCAGGTGTTCATTTTGTGTTCCCAGATGCTTAAAGTTGCCATGAAATCACTCATACTTAGCCATATTTGAAATAAATATAATTTTAAATCTAATAATAACAGCTTTGTTCAGCATTTTATGCTTTACAAAGCTTACATGTATGATAAGATGCATACTGTATTCTGTTTTAAAGTTCCTAATTCATATTCAAGCACATTTTCAGAAAGTGAACATCTTTGATTTTATTTAGACTTTTCTCTTTACTCATTTTGTTGTTAGAGTTATGAGCAAATTTTTAAATACTGCCACTCTGATAAAAACACAGATAAATTCATTAGACCTATTTTTTTTAAACGTAACGTAACTGTTTTGTTTTCACGTTTTACAGAATAAAGCAGTTATTGCTCGTGTTATATTTTAATATTATTTTAGCCATTTGTTTTATTTGGGAACTTTTAAAATAAAGTTTCTTACATAGAACCATTTGAATGGTAAAGGTTTAATAGTTAGGTCTTACTCTCTTAGGTCTAAGCTGAATATAGAATAGGGGTGAATAACAGCTCCTTACCTATTTACTTATTCTGGGCATATATAAATTATTGATGTTATTTTGTGGAACTACCACACTTCCATGGAAATTTCTAAATAATAACTAGCTTATTTGAGGCCCGCTGCAAAATAGTGTGAGACTGTGCCAAGTTTTTTGTTGGTTTACGTGTTACAATCTACAAAAAAAGTATAAAAGATTATAAGATCCTTTATATGATAGTTGTCCCATGCTTTGAAGAATTGTACAGACTTTAAAAAATAATAACATAACATAAACCAATAATCATATATTTTTTAAAGGCTAGAATATATAAGCTGTGTCTGTTCAGTAAAATTTTTATTTAAAATATATATATATATATATATATATATATATACGCTGTGAACGAAAAGTACAGTAAAATAATTTGCTTCATCATTGTTGACTCACTGAAGTAGGCATACGGTGAATGCCCAGGTTAACCTTCTACATACCTCATTTAATATATTGTTTTCATTATGATAAGAAAAGATCCACTAAGATTTAACTATTTTTTAATTTATTGCTTCCATTTACTTTTATAATAATTCAAATTAAATGTTATTTCAATGAATTATTGTTGAAATTTTATATAACTATTATAAGTTTTTGAATTTAATAAAATTATATGTCATATTCTAAAAAGTTATTTTGATTAAAACATTTTAAAGGTTGAAAGGCTGATTCTTTGTGCTGAAATCTCTGAACTGATGACTTATTCCCTACAGAGTAATAAGTGACTCTAATGACTCAAAAATTTTTTTTTAAGAAAAAGGACTTTAGGATGAAATCATTCATTCATTCATTCATTCTGTAAGGCCTTTTGATGTATTAGGTAGCTAAAGAGTACATGTCAGGTTAAAACGAGAAAGGTACAAATCAAAGTATGGTGTACCTATTTCAATAAAATACATTGTACTAAACAGCTAAATTTATAGCTAATGCTGTCTTCTTAATATCTCTTACATTTTTTAACTTAATTGTCAGATATTTTTGAATTTGTGAATTACGTTTGAAAAGGCTGTTTCTGACTGTGAGCACCTAGAGATTCACCTTTTTAACCTAAGACTAATAAGTGCCTTACTAAACATTGAAACACACATAAAACCGTGGGCTAAAGAAGCAGTAAAGAATCTGTCCATAAGATTTATCTATTTTTTAAATAGGGAATTTTCCTTTGCCTTTCATGTCAATGTCCTTGTGAGGGGCAGGTGATTTTTAAATATGAGCTGAGTCAGGCAGAAAGAGCCACCGAAGAACGTTCTATGTCTTCATCTGTGGGAAATGACCCCTAGTTTAGTCAGAAACTACATTAGGCTGCACGAAAGCCATCCAGTGCCCTTGTCAGAAAAAATCAGCTAGTGTTTCTACTGACAAGAGGCCAAAGCTCATGGTTTACTAGCAGTGTTGCAAAGCTTCTAACAGCCACATAAAGGTCTAACATGCCACAGAAGTGAATATCTTCAGATGGCAAAGGGGTTAATGTTGGTCCTAGAATGTGCTCGGAAATGTGGTTTTCGTCAATGGTTTGTTCAGTCATTAATAAGGTAGAAAACGAAGTACTTCTCAAGAGTGCTTCACTGGTTATCAGTAACCCATAAGCCTTGTTTTGCTGGCTGCTTACTGGTGCATTTAATAAAATAAAGATCACTCAGTGGTGCCGTGGGCAGCATGCAAGGTGATAGCCATATTTGCTTACTGTAAATACAAGAGAAAATCACACACAAACCGGCTGTAGTTTTGACAAGTATTAAGATCCCTCTTTACATCTGTACTTCTGTACCAAAGTGCAATTAGTTTTTCTCGCACAAGGATTTCTGTTTATCTTATTCTGCTTGATTACTTGAGTATAATCACACCATTTGCTTCATTGCTCCTGGTAGTAAGCTCCAGTTTTAAAAGGGGAGGATGCTTGTGTGTAAATTTACAGGATTCTGCTGTAAGACTCTTTAATTTATGAATCTGATGACAGTGTTTTTAAATTTTTTCTTTTAATTTCCCTTCCACAAGGTCTGATTCATATACGGCAGATTCCTCGACTTAATAACTTGATTTGTGATGAATCAGATGTCAAAGACTTAGCTTTTAAATTAAAAAGGAAGCTATTCACCATTGAGGTAAGAGATTTTTATGTTTCTTACATAAAAGGTAAATAGTATCTCTCCCTCCTCCTGCCTTTTTTTTTTTTTTACTTTAATGAAATGCTTAGGACTTGTTTTATGCTAAATATTTTTAAGTTTTTACGGTATAACAGAATAATTTTTTAGACTGTCCTTTTATCTTAATGGCATATCAGAGTATAGCAAAAGCAACTTCGTTTTAAATGTCTATTAAAAGTTAGCTCCAAACTTACATGATAAATATGACATGCATAATTCCAAGGATTTCAAAAGCATATTTAATTAAATGTTAATCAGCTGTGCTTACTTGTGTATAGAGTGTGACTGCTACCACAATTGTGTATGACTTAGAAAGAGGGTTCTTACATATGTTTTGCAAGTATTTTTCTTTACTATTAGTGAAATTACCTTTTGCTTTCCGTGTAGAAGTGAACAAAGTATAATTTACCCTAGTCTTTAAGTAAATTTTCTACAACACTTAAACTTTTTGGAACCTTCATGCAAGCAATGGTGACAGAAAGTAGTGGTGCAAAAGATTCATTTTAACATAATCTCGCTAAAGAGCAAATGAACGGAGAACTATTAAGCAATTAGAATTGATGTATTTATTAACGAAGTAAATGCTCAGAGAGCGATAGCTTTTGGGTGATGTGATAGTTATCAGTATAGTTGGTGCAATTTTTTTTTTTTTAAACAAAGACATAAAACAGCCAAGCAGCCTTGACAAACCATTTTGTTTAATCTCTTTTCAAATGAAAAGCTCTTAAGCAGGCCACTTGTCTTAACTGCTTGAAACCATTAAAAAGAGAGAATTGCCACCAATAAATTAGCATATTTTTAACTTCATCACCAAATGATGGTCAATGTGGCTTGGCACTGCTTTGGTGTTTGGGACTTCACCCTTAAGTGACCACTTTGGCCCTTTTTTGACCCTCTGCCCTCTTTAAGCTGGCCACTTGATAAAGGTAACTTAATGGTTCTCTCTTTTTCTCTTTTCCTTCACGTTTGCAAGTAGCACTAACCTATAAATCATTGTAAGGGCCCTATCCAGTGACAAATTAATGTGCCCTCCTCCTAATTAATGGTCATCAATGTCCTTAATTATCTAATCCTATTGAGAGCAGTTAATAGTTAATCAGGCAGCCAGTTCTTCAAGCAGGTCATCTCTGCAGGAGTGTTAGAAGTTTCTCATCTGGGGATACTCCCTTCAAAAGCCACTTAAAGCCAAAAGAGCGAGAGTGTAGAAATAGTGATCCTTGAGCTAATGTGCTTTAGTTCTCAAAAGAAACCATTGAAATAGAACCCAGACTGTAATTGTCCAAACATTGTTTCAGTTTTTGTGGTAGAATACTGAGTAATTTACCATAATATTACTTAAAACTTTTAGAGGGATAAGGTTTAGTGTCACAAGGAAACTGTGCTTGTTATTTTCTTTTAGGTTGAATTTGTATGTTTAATGAAAGATGTAATTTTTTCCCTCTGTGTGGCACTTTTCCCAAAAATCAGTATTCTGATAACCAATCTAAGGTATCATTTCTATCATCATATAAACTAAGCAAGGTGATTCTCCAGTGAAAATAAATACTATGATGTCCAGAGAGGAAAATAGTATAGTAGTGTGACTCATGTTTATAAACTCTCTCTTTCTCTTTCTCTCTCTCTATCTGTCATTGGGTCTTACTGGGAGTTGGGGAGACAGAGAAATAAAAAGCTTGGATAATGTCAAATGGGACCTTTCCTTTCAATAACTTCAGGTTGTAATAGTTAGTACAGTTTACCACTGGAGCTGATCAGTGATCTTTTGTTATCCACACAGGTTTCTGTTTCATTTTCTTTCTTCCTCTTCCCACTATTCTAAACTAAGAATCATTGTAATTAGTCACCTTGTAGTTTGGAAGCAATATTTGGGGGGGGGAAATAAAAAAGCACAAGTGTTTTTTAATAAGTTGATATTCAGTACAGTCGATCAAATCTTACACCGCTTTTGGCTTATAACTTAGTAAGGATGTTTGTTTTTGTTTTTTTATAGAAATATAGGTGAAACACATCATAAATAACTAACTTAGTGACACCACAATATTAAATTTAGTGATTAGAAAAATTATAAATTGAGAAATCAGACAAACCTAATAGAAGTACATGTAGGTATAATTAGAACATAATAAAATCATGTGCTTCACCTAAGATTAAATGTTTTAAAGATAGTGTTGTACATTAGAATATGCATATTCAACAGATAAGTGTATATAGTATTATCTTGTAAAAACTGGAAACAAAAGTAGAAATGAGCTGAAAGTAATTAGTTCAAGTATTTCTTTATTAGATGTAAAATCATCTATCAAATGGCAGTGTTTTAATATGTACAACAAATAAATTTTTTAATATTATTTTAAAAACAAAATGTGTGCCGTAGTAGTCTATAAAGCCAGTGACTAATATACCAGGCATTGAATCTGAGTCTTACTTTTAGAAGCAAAATGTGGTTTGGCAGGTAAAGCAGAAATAACTTTTCTGATCCCATGAGGATAGATTTTTCTTTTATGTTAGAATTTACTCTCAGTCACATGGTCTTAAAAGAGGGCATGGGTGCAAAGAAGGAGCGAAAGAAGCAGGCAAGCACCCCTCATTTCTATTTTTATGGTATCTTTTCTTCGATGTGTTAAATTATTGCATTGTTTATATATGAAAACTAATTATCTTTTCACGATCAGCTACCAGAGCCTTTAATAGGTAGAGCAACGTTAACTTATAGTCTCTAATTTATTTGAGTGATCTGGAGAAGGCAAAAGACTCTTTTTTCCTTTGAAGTATGTCTTGTCCAGATTCAAGTAGAAATGTGTATCTAATCATAGTTACAATTTGTATTGATACTTATTAACTGTAAAACTCAATGAATTAGTCCCTCCAAAAAAAAAACTATAGCAGAATCATATCTGTACTAATGACATTAAACTTCTGGCAGGCATTCTAGGTAAGTAAAAGAAAGTTCAAAGTTGATTCAATGTGTCTTCAGGTTAAAAGAAATATATTTCCAACTCTTTGAAAACTGATAATTCTTATGAGCTGTACATGGTAACACACTAACATATTTGATTAACCACAATATACAAAACTTATTCCTTAATCTTATTCAGATCAAGTTTATCTAACCTTACCTAACTTCCATTCAATAATAGCAAACACTCAGTGAGCCATTTTTGTGTACCAAACACCGTATTGGCTTATTTATATTTTTATATAATGATGAAATATTTTAAACAAAAGCTTTACTAAAATGTAATAACAAATTCAGTATACATAAACTATGTCTTCTTCATCTTTACATCTATCCCTGAACTAAGAACAGGTTCATTTACTTGGTAGGTATAAAATCTTTGCTGAAATATATGTAATATAGATAAATTATGAATGGACTTTTAAAAATAGTCCAAATAACACAGCTATAAATATTACATAACTCCACTGGTCAAGTGACCCATTCATACTGCCTTTTCAGTTAAGTGTAAGATTTATAACTTGGGTGCATAGCTTCACTTCCAAGTTAAAATAACTATCAGAATTTGTATTTTTCAGTCTCTGTAGTTTTTGCTTCTCTAATGTTAAGATAATCATTAACCAGTTTTTTTCTTTACTTTGGTAATTGTAATACATGTAAAAGTAAGATTTGGCAGGACTTGAAATTTGGCTTCATGTAACTTGACATTATAAAAGCATTTTCACTTGCATTTAATATTACTTTGCAATTTTGATTTGATATTTTCAGCTTGAACATATCGTAGTGCATTCTAGTAATAAAATGTTTTAGGGTAATGATAATAATGTATTATTACATTAGTTGTAACTTCTATTAAGGTGATTACGAAGAGGTTCCACTTTGATAATAGGACAGTTTCCCGGCTTAAAGAATCAATGTTTCAAAGATCAAATGAGAGAGCGTGGTAATTGAGTCACGCTGAAATATACAAAAGAAGCACACCGTTTACTAAAAATTGGAATATAAGGATAACTAGTACTTATATAGGCTTCAATTAGTCCAAAAGTAATAATTATTATAGAGTGTTTATGTGGGTCTTATAGACTAAGTGGATATTGGGAATGGAAAATGTCATAGTAAATTAAGTTTATTCAAGGTTTCTTGTCATACTTTGCCTCTAATTCAGAATACAAGACCTCAGTGCCTTGTACCTGAGAAAATGTTTTCTCACAAAATAATTGACCAATGAGTTTTTATTAAGTGGCTATTATTTTTTATTTACTTATTTAAGAGACTTATTCTTAAGAATCAAGACCAGAAGAGTAGATCCCATCAGTATAAATTAGATACATAAGAACACTAAAATATAACTAGGTACAATTCAATAGAATTATATGAAACTTCACACCTTGGAAAAGCACAAACTCTTACAATCTACAAGCCTGCTATTCAAATATAAATACCTGGCTTGGAAACCTTCCTTAAATTAGCATCATGGACCAATGTAACTTTTCTGATAATGATGCCTTCACTGGTTGCTATTTTAACTATCTTTTATTCTAGATAGACTGGAGTTAGCAAAAAGAAAAAGTCAAAGTTGAAGATAGGCACATATTTATGTTGATGAAACCATTTGTCAAAAGTAAACCCAAATTAACATTCTGTAACAATTTTTTACATGGTTACATTTTAATATATTCCATCCTCATATTTACACTTTGATTCTCAAGAGATATATATTAGTCTCACAGAGGTTTCACAGAAGTCTCTAGAAGTTGGTTTAATACTTATACTCAATGTATTTCACACGCCATGGTGAACCTATCAAAGTGCATACCACCTTAAAGAGAACACAGTTTTGAGACTCTGTCTAATCCTATTTCTTCTCACTTTGGAATCTTAATTAGAAGAGATAAGAAAAAAAAAACATCATTTAACTAAATTATTGTCTTGAATCTGTAGCAAAAGGTATAATCCGCAATTGGGCCAATTAGTGAACCCCATAGTTAGCTATGCTGCAGCAAACAATTTGATTAGATCTGACACTATCCTAGTTCCCACTGTTGTTTTGCCAGGTATGATGGTCAGACTTCAAAGAGCTTGAGGCATCAGCAGGGCAAGGTTTGGAGGCCAGCTTAGGTCCGGTTGTTAATCTCTCTGCTAAAACCACAGCAGCTCTCACACAAAACAAGCTTACACGACACAATCATGCGGTATTAAAGTTAGGGTTGAGTCATGCCAATTTGCCTTTGATTTTTTGATGATTGACCAAAGATGGCTACATGACTAGACACATGCAAAAGTATACTGATTAGGTAAGTTCCCAAAATATTTGAAGTATTTTTTAACTTCCTATATAAATGTTGTGAAAGCTTATTCTCTTTGATCAAACTTTCCAAAGTGGTAGTACTGTATTGGAGAAAAATTAGTCTTTCTTTCTGACAGCCTGAATACCAAACTTTCCACTTACCACTTTATAGAAATTTGTCTTTACATTAATAATTCCTTAAGGAGAATGTTAAAGGAAATTGTTTCTGAGTGGTAAGCTTTTGAAAAATCTATTAAGCACTTTGAAAGAGAAAAAGAAAACATTTTTCCCTGAGTCATTTATGTTCACTGACAATTTTTCTGAAATTTCTTTATAATTATTTTCCACTTAAATGTTGAGTAAAGTGCCCTTCCAGGATGTGATTGCATAAGTGTTCTTTTCTCTGCATTCTGATTTGTTGAAATACTGCAGTAATAGTGACATGTTTCCATTCTGAGAAAAGCCTAAGGCTGCTTTAGTATTATTCCGAATGATTGAAACTGCCATCTTGCTGACTTTCCCTTAGGCAGCGTAAGGCCTGTTTGCTTTTGTGTTCATTTCACATGCTTCCTGTTAGTTAGGCTGGCAGAACATCATTGCTTCATTTGGCAAGGAAGAATAAAGTCATGTTTGGCTATTATGTGTCTTAATGTTTCTGTAGAGTCATCAACACCTACGATATTAAACTTCTAATTTGTTAAATCAAATGAATCCTATTTCTTTGAGAGATACTGTTGAAATACCTTAGGACATCTTACCTGTAAGTAATTTTTATATAAAAATCTGTATTATATAAATTGAACATAGGGTCTAATATTTTACATTGTACTCTTTTTATACTTATAATTATATTTCCTCAGGAAATTTAAGGACCACATATATTTGAATAATAGGATGGTTACACAAAGTCAAATATTTAGAATCTTGCTATTAATTTTAAATCTGTGAGTCTCTCGTAAAGATACTATGGTACCTGTGGTGCAGTTATCTCCACTTTAAAACCAAGGTGATACAGACTTGGCACTGTCTAAAGATGCAAAAGGAAAAAAGATCTTTTTCCTGAAGATCTTCTTCCCTAAACTTTGCAGCTACCAACATTTATGTATGTGTTCTGTGATTTGGCTCCAGGAAAATTATGTTATAGTACTTTGAGGATTTCCT